GTACTAGCCAATCATCATAGTTAGGATTGAATTTCTTGGTTGTGTCATCTGTGGTAACGAATTGTTCTAGACATTCTTTTGTCCCTAGTATATAGTCATCGAGCTTGCAACCACTAATCAATGGTAAGACCAATGATTTCCATGTAAGATTGTACACATCTACCTTCTCCAGACCTTATTATGTGAGAGCTTCATGCATTGTGTATGTTTTTTACGGAGTAGACTTTTGTACTCTCTACGGTCTCTTGCATAATAGAGGAATCTTCAAAAGGACTAATAATATCTGATGTTTAAGGAAATGACATATCATTGAGTTATAATTATGTTATGTTTCTTATGCCATAACAGTATATTATTTTGCATTAGGGTAAAAACACGAGGAGCTTTCGATAAGGGTTGTTGAAAGAGCAGCACTATCACAAAAACGGGGACCATGCATGCATGATAGCAACATAAGACACAACGAAGTTGATGAGGTATAATCCGTAGCATATACCAGTACAATTTATAGAATATCCATTCTGAATGTGCGAATAGCTCATGATATATTGCACCCTTGGCATGATTTGAAACACAAGCAAATTGGTTACTATGAATGCTTCAAAGGTAGAGAAGAATAACAGTGCAAATCTCCTTCGGCAGAGTGCAATACTGTTCTTGCATGAGAACTGTTTTTTCTGCCAAAGGAGAATTGCCCTGCCATTCTACATTACTACCATTGTTCCCTCAAGGCTTCTCAATTATTTTCTTTAATATTACTTTGCAATTGAGGCTCTTTAAAAGTTGAGTTTATTTGTGCCTTTCATTTCAGTACTAAGTGATTTTGGTTTTGACTTATGAAGTTTTCTTGATATTGTACGATGGGAGTTAGAAACATAACAATGTTAAACAAGGGTTTACCTCCAATTATCTATCTCTAGTATTAAATATCTGATCCACAAACTACATATCTCTATGGCAGATTATATGGTTTATATTTTGTGTTTATACATTCATAACGAATCTTACCTTATTTTTAAAAAAGAAAGACCCGATTTTGTAGGAAAGGAAAAAGGAAAATGCACTTAGAAACTACAAAGAGAATAGGCGTTAAATTATGCTACGAGAAAGAAGATACTGGAGAATGTTCACTTTGCTGCAAGGTTTGCTTTCGGAGTTTTAGTGACCCCAAAAGATGCATGTATTTATGGAGAAACTAGAAGCCGCTCGTGGATTAGGATATGTGATTATTACAAACAGATTTTGAAGATAAGAAAGGGTCACTATGCCTGTGAAGCAAGGAATTTAGTCATGGAGTAGCTAGTATGATTTGTAAACACTTAGTTAGAGTTAGTTTAATTTTTGTTCTTGTTGGGTTTATTCAAGTATGAAGTCTCATATTGGATATGAGGGGAGGAGTAAAGAAGTTTATAAATAGAAAAAACTCATGAAACTAATGCTTTAAGGTTTTGATTCAAGACGTGGTGTCTCACTTGTGACTCTCCATTCATCCCATACCCGAGTAACAATGGAACTCTTCGGTAGTTGGAGGCTCCCCAGACGCAGTCTGGTCCAACAGTTTTGTATGAGAATGGTCGTGCTGGAAGGGCAATTTCAACCCAAGAAGTTGTATGTATGTTGCTTGAGATTGACTTGAGAGTGTATGGGTGGTACATGAAAAAGTGTTCTGACGTTTAAGTCAGTATATGATATATATGAGGGTAGAGAGTAATATGCAAGAGTAATAGAAAGAGATAAGATATCTTCCTTATGGGGGTGCCCACTATTTATATTGGAGAATGAAACGAAATATGCTATGACAGATGCTGTTAGCATGGACGAACAACTTGTCATGTTGTGCCTGTCCAAACAAAAATGAGTTGTTTTATTCGTGTTTGATGCCTCTAACAAGTCTGTACTCTATGGATAGTTGACTTATAGCTTGCTATAAGCCTCATAGCCGTATTCTAGGTTTGTCTTTGTCGTTTGGTGGAAAGTGGATACATGATGCAGGTGGCATGTGGCTTGTGCCAGAGGTCTGTGTCGCTTAGGCGGCGCGATAGTCCTGCTCAAGCGACGTGACAAACGAATGATAAAAGTTATGGTCCTCTATACTGCAATTTGGATCTTGTCTGGTCAACTACATTTTTTCTCTGAATTGTTCCGTTGATCAGTCTCGATCCCAAGGTGTCCGGAGTGAGTTCGTCCATGTCCGGTACCTAGCCGAAGTTTTGCAGTTTAGTCCAACCATAACCTAGCTTTGGAACAATTATTGACCTCAATGGTGTACAAACACTATTAATTTGTCCAAACCAAAAATGCCCGAATGAGTAATTGATAATTGATTAAGTTTCGTAAGTATGATGTCAAGAGTTTTATCTCTATCTATATAAAAAAGTGTTGTTATCAATCACATTACTTCAATAATCTTCATTAGTCTTTAGTTATTACGGGAGAGAAATGGTTGGAAGACACCATTTTATTTTTTGGTCTAAAATATCATATAAAAAGGAGTTAAACTAACTTTTCTTTACCTAATATGGGCACACTAAAAGTATTGCCCTGTAATGCAATTGCAGCTGAGAAGAAACAGTGGCACACTCAAAGAATGGCAGTTATGAACGTTATTTATGACTTCCTTGAATCAGCATATCCTATGGAACAATGCCATTCATTGTATTCTGCATTTGCATTTCTTGTGTCTTTCTCTTTGTTTTATTCCTTTGTTTGGGAAACTTCCTTTTTGAACTTATTTTTTTATTTGTAACATTAATTAATACTCTCTCTGCCAAGTACCCTTTATTGATTATTGTCATTCATTCTTTTCATCTTATCATTTAATTAATTATTTTTAGATTAAATCATATTCATATTCACCCAGAGGTTTTAGTAAAATTATATTTTGCACATAAACAGATTTCCCTTAATTTATATATATATATAAATAATACTAACTATCATACTACATCAGAATTGATATTTAACAATATTCAAAAAATTTATTCAACATATCATATGTTATCTATATGACAGCATTAGAATGAAATGCTAAATTCAACAATGCTTTCGTGTACAATGTCTATGCGGCCGCAAGGGTAAGTGTAATTCTTTAAACAAAAAAAATATGATAAAAATATTTAAGTTAAATTCCAAGAGGTGATAATTGTAATTAAGTTAGACTCTAAAGAGTGTTTGCGTAATTTACTCTTAAATAATTAGTTATATATAGCTAGGATAAATTGTTCATTTGTAAATTTGCATATAGAATTTGATTATGAAATCACTCTTCTCTTTTGCTTTGTGTATTTAAGTAACATCTCCATAGAAGTATTGACGCATTTTGTAACGAACCATAAAATAATGTAAAAGCAATAACTCTTATACTATTTGGATTTATACCCACAACATACCATAGTTTGCAGAAATCTTGTGTGTGATTAAACAAAGTTGTATTATTTATTCTCTATGACCATTTTCAATAGCATATATATTTGTTTGTAAAATGAATGACAGTTCAGTAAATTCAAAGTCAATCTCAATATACTTTATTTTATCTCTAACACTTGAATTAGTTGTTGCTAATGATATAAGGTTATAACCAAGAAATAATTTAAATGAAACAATAGTGCATGAATAGTCTTTTTATTATCTTTATTTTAAAACTTATTAGAGATGAATAAAGATAGGATAGACAACTGGAAACCAAATAAAAATTCTTATTTTATGTAAAAAAAATTATTAATATTATAAATACTCTAAATTATGTATTTTTATATTAAAATATCATTACTAAAAATAATAAAATAATTGAGTTTATTTTATTATTCAAATATTTGTTATTTGGTAGGATTTGAAATTTTTTAAGGGATAAGGAACTTATTTCTTGGTGTAAAGAAAGTTGGAACGGTTTCTCATTAAGTTGTAATAAAAAGTTATCATTATCATACTTAACAATATTATGTGTCAAAACTTATCTCATCAACATTCTGTAGATGATGAGTGACACACAATACAGAGGAAAGTAAAAATATAGTACATTGTAAAATACTCATTTTGATTCGTTACAAAATGTATCGATAATTCTAATTAGATGTTGCTTAAATATAAAAAAATAGAAGAGTGATTTCATAATCAAGTTCAATATGAAAATTTACAAATGGTCAATTTATTCTAGCTAATGTATTATTTAATTAAAAGTAAATTACAGTATAAATTAAAATTACATTCATCATTCATTTTCTTATTAAATTGAGAGTGGTTAATTAAGGTGCAAAAAATAGTTTATGTAATTTTACTAAAGCATATATAAATATAATTTTCTCATGATTTTATAGATTTGTTCCCTTTCCTATAAATTAATAATAATACTTTTCCAAAAACAATAATAGGAATTGATCCAACCGATGAGGTCGCCATTGTTTTGTTCCCTTGCTGAAAGAGTGATCCCATTTATGTGGTGATCATGGTCATTAAGTATAACAGCAAAGGGGTCTGGATTAGTGAAATTCTAGTTTGTAAGTTGATTTTTCAAATGGTTAGAGTATCACTAATGCTCTTTATAATCCTAATTTATTTGCTTCTTATAAAATATTGGAGAAATTATGCTCACATTTTATATCTCCTAGGCTCCTAGCTAGCTCAGCAGACTATAATTTGGTCACATTAAAAACTCCATTTTCCCCCACTAGGAAACGGAAATAAAAATAAAGTATAATTAAACATGAACTTTAATGGGGAAATAATAAAAATAAAGTATAATTAAACATGAACTTTAATGGAGAATAATAAAAATAAAGTATATTTAAACATGAACTTTATTGGGGAAATAATAAAAACAAAGTATAATTAAACATGAACTTTAATGGGGAAATAATAAAAATAAAGTATAATTAAACAAATTGTTGGTGCAGTGGAAACTAATTATACCTTTTAGAGATGCGAGATAACAATGGAATATTATAAGCTTCTATTTTCAACCATTATTGTAAATGTTTCTGAACATGTTATAGAAGCGTAGTTGCATGAGAATCGCTGGGCAAATCTCCTTTGGCAGGTTTACACACTAAAATGAATTATTTCATGCATGGGTGAGATGCATGCATAATCATATATCATGCATAGTGAAAAACTGCCAATAGAGATCTTGCCCTGTAATTCATTTGCAACTGGGAAGGCACACATGGCTAGAAGTGGCTACTAGGAACGTTATTTATGTCTCTCTATCATCGGCATATACCATGGAACAATACCTTCATTTTGTGCTCCTTCTGTCCTTTCATATGGTTTTATTCCTTAGACTGAGAACATGATCTTCCGAGTAAGGATAATCTTCATTAATGGAGAGTCAAGTATTACAAAAATCAAAGGAAAATATAACATGGTAAGACATTTCTATCATTTTATATATTGACATGACACTTTTGCCATTAAAAATACAAGAAATATGAGTATTTATCTCTTCATTAATGGAGATGATTATTTTTATGATTTTTGGTAAAAGTTACTTTACATGCACAACAAAGGAAAAAGTAAAACACAAGTTGGTTCCTGCAAATTTATGATCGTGTGGTACGTGTTGCATCATTGCATTTTTTATCCGCAAATGTTAGTTGTTACTATGTTAGTATTTGTTGTGGACGAAACTCGAACTCTCAACATTCTTCACTTCACCCCTTCTCTTTAATCATCAAACCACCTTATAACTTCTTTTTTATTTTAAATTTGCTATGGATGAAACTCAAACACACAATCTCTTTCACTCTATGCCAAATATATGCTCGTGTGGTACGTATAGGTTGCATGATTGCATTGAGTGTTGGTAATATCCAAGCTCCACATTGAAGACCCTCTTTCCCATTTTTAATTATATTCTAGCTGACAAATTTGTACAAAAATTTTTAATTGATGAATTGATTTTATTTTAAGGAAAATTGGAATCCAATTGCGATCGTGGTAAAAAAAGTTCAAAAATCATGGACTAGAACACTCTCACAAATGTTTGACTTTACAATGAGTAATACTAGTAGAAATCAAAATTTGGTACTTTCTGCTGTAGGAATAGAAATAGTATAATGATAATAAATAAATAAATAAATATTTCATCGTAACATTAGTTATCTCAATTAATCATTAAAATTATGTATTATAAAACTCGATTCGGACTGGACAGTTCAACCGTGAACTGAACATCTAACTAATCTAAGTCTCTCATCTAACCGTTTTGCATCAAAACTGGTGCAAAACCGCTGACTCGTATGGTTGAACTGACTGAGTCAATAAAAAACATATTAAAAAAACAAACACAAATATGTCCTTGGAAAAAATCAAATGTTTTAATTTATTTTTTTGTTATGTTTGTCTTTTGTTAACCCATGTTATAGTTGAATAATTATTACCTAATAAATTTATCGTTTCAATCACCAAAATTCATTACTAAATTATAAAATAATAGATAATGAATAATCTTAACAAAAGTATAATATATAAAATATTTAACTAAAAATAAATTTATAATTATATATGTACTGACAGGGCATGTATTATGATCCTCGTAATTATATATGTACTGACAGGGCATATCGAGTACTCGTGATAGTTATTTTTTGTAGATACATGTATTTTTATCATCCCGAACTGAACTTGAAGAACCCAAACTTTTTTATATAATATACATAAGCTCATAAAAAGTATGTTCAGTGTGTATTTCTTATAAGTGTGAGTTGTAGCCTAGTGCAATGTGTATTTGTGAACTCTAATCAATTGACATGAATAAAGATCAAGTCTTCCCTTTAAAGTAGGTTCTGACTTGATTGTGGAGTTCTTATGAGATTTGATGTATTAGTATTGATAGGATCGTGCATGATGTTAGACTTAAGCTATGGATAAGTAATACTACGAAGTAGAAACTTATAAAACCAGCCAATCAATTATGTGGAAGACATTTTTATTCAGAAAATAGTTCTACATGACAAAATAGTGCGCAAAAAATAGGTAGTATGCACAATAAAGTAAAAGGTAAAAACATATTTAAATTGAGAGTTTATAGGATAATTTACCTTAATGCAAATGATTGTAAAAGAGTGATTAGAAATAGCAGCTAAATTGTTGGGCAAATCCCCTTTCCCAGTGAGCACACCTCTTATTAGTGAAGTAGGATAATCTCCATCAATTGAGAGACAATTACATGTTTTTCCTTTTTATTTAATGACAAAAATATAATTTCATTGTAACCAATATATGTATCATTAAAAACTGTATTTTCCTTTGGTTTTTGAAACATTTGTGTCTCCATTAATCGAGAGATGATTCTAACTCCTTATTACTTGTGTTATATGTCACGTTATGGTATTGCCTCCTGCCAAAAGGGAAACTGCCCTGTAATGCTACTGCACTGAAGTATTGGCCACACAATTTACTAGCGTCCCATAATGTTATTTATAGTAGTGTAGAATTATCATATATTTTTGTATATCTAATGTTATCATATCTTATGGGTAAAGAATTATTTTCTTTCAGGGTATATGAATTCTTCCCATGAGTCGAATCTTTAACCTTTTTATCTACCTTGAATTAGCATATCCTATGGAACAATGATGTCCCAGAATGTCATTTATAGTTTCCTAGAATTAGCATATGCTATGGAGTGATGCAACTTTCAATAATGTTATTTCAAGCAAGTGGTGATGAGTGTCTATAGGGTTTGCAGGAAGTTTATTATAATTTGGGAGAATCTAATGGGATCTATTAATTTGATGTTATTTACCAATTGTGCATCTTTTATTTTTAACATTGTTAGTATCCATGTAATTTAATTTATTGATTTGTATAATCCAAATTTTCATGCTTAATTATGTTTTACGTTTGAATATATTTCTGTATCATGCATTATCAACTCAACTAAACTAAGTTTCTTAATATCACATGGAATTGAATAATCAAACAACACATGACCAATAATAATACCGTTTTAGATTGAGTCTGAACATTCATAGAGAATCTGATTTTAGGAAAGGAAAAGAGAAAGTGTAATTACAAAAACAGAATAGGCCTTGGATTATGCTATGAGAGAGAAGATACTAGAGCATCTTCTTTTCCGGTTGTAAAAAGTCATAGGCAATGCCAAACGTTATATTTATCCAATCTTCTTATACTTTTATCATATTAGAAATATTACATTTTCTTAATAAATTAGCTTTAAATTTTTCCTAAGACAAAAAAAAAGTATACATTGATATTATAAAAGTTTTATACACTATAATTATATCATCCACCATTCATATTTGATCATCGTTAACTCTTCAAAAAAGATACAGATGAATTATGAATGTTGCATTAACTTTGTATAAATCTTTGTACTGGTACTATGTAGGTATTAATTACATTCATTTATACAAGTTTCTATACAAATTAGATGTTTGGGGAGAAGGTGACACTTATAAATGAATTCAAATCATCACTAGACTAATACCTGATGAAGATTACTACATGTGATACAAATTAAGTTTTAACCGATGTGATTTGAAGTTACTTTTTTTTAAGAAAAAATTAGAAAAATAATTAACCTCATAGATTGTAAATGAATTCAGATTCATAGTGGGTCATGGAATATGGGCTAGCCCGTTTATGTCAATCCAAATGAGTTCTAAGATAGAACTCGGCATTTTAATTATCTTCTTAAGTAGGAATTTGAGCTTTCATTTAAAGGACTACCATATCTTTTTTAAGTTTTTATTTCCATCCTATTTATAAACATAGTATCATTTTCATAAAATTTATTTAATACTTTTGGTTCATTAGATTTCCACAATCATTTGGAGATCAATTTCCCTTAATGACTAAAATAATTGGGGTTTCAACTTAGTTATGTCATGTGATTAGATACAATTTAGAAGGTTTTTAGTCTTTTACAAGGTAATTTACTTTTGATAAATCTTTTATTGATTTTCCGTATTTATCTTTATTAAGGGATTTAACTCTGTCTTTTTGTTTGGGATAAATTAATAGTTCATACATTGCGGGATTAAATTAAAAGTTTATTATTTTCAAGACTATAAATGAAAAACGATATAATATTAAATGTATGTAAACTTTTAATGTTGTATATTTTTTAAAAATATCATAAAAAATTAAATACTGTTAACTATATTTACTAGTAGTTGTAATTTAGTTGTAATGGTCTTATAAAAAAGAATTAGATGAAGTAGTTGTCTATCAATTGTGTTTCATTTTAGAAACCTTGGGTCCAACTTTTTTAATCGTCCATTTGACTATTTATTTTGAATAAATATATTTAGTATTTTTTTCCAAATAATTTTATTGTCCAAAATAACATATTTTCGTGGGAAATCAGATTTATTCCCATCCACAAGTGCATATACTTCTATTTGTACCCACATTGGTATTTGTTATGGTTTTTAAACGTGGTTTTAATGTTATCCATAAATTTGGCCTATTTTAGAAAACAAAAAATAAATACATTTTTAAAAACAAAAAAATGATAAATGTCAAATTAAAAAAATATTTTGGTCATTTTCTCTTTTTATATAGTTAAATAATAACATTATCCATTTATGCAATTGTAGTTAAATAATCACTTTTATCCATTGGGCACAAATGACTTTCTGACCAAAAAGGGTATCACAAATGACTTCTTAGATTAAATGAAATATTTTTATCCAGAGATGTTTTGTAAACATTATTTCAAAAAAATAATTTTATCACAATTTTTTTTACAGATGTTTTAAAACTAATTTTTTTTCCTCTCTAATTTTCAAATTTTAATCAATGGTGTTCATAGTTATAAAATCACTAATCGACAGTTTCATTTTTATATAATTTTTTAATTTCAGAAATTAATAATAACATGTTATCCTTAAATTTTCTAATTAAAATTCGTGATAAATGAAAGGTTGTAAAACTATATTATTGCATTGTATGTGCCATTTTCAAATCAATGATTGTTGAATATGCTATATACATAAGTTTATTTTGCTGCTTAATATGCCTAAGTTACTTAGTGTAGTTTATTTGTTGAAACTTTGTAATTTTTCTATTTTTAGGATCTTTAGTTAAGTTAGTTATAGTTGTTTATCAACTAACTTACTATATAAGACTTTCATTTGTATCTTTGGATCATTGATTGGAATATATATTTTCTAATCA